CACACCTATTTAATGTTGGAATTTGTTTTTTCTTTTTCAGGATAATATTCGATTTCTCTATACGTTTAGGGCATTAGAACGCTTGCGTTGTGTTTGAATATTTTCTGAGCCTCAGTTTTAAAAAAATCCAAGTGTAATTCCAGTTGCTTTTGGAGCTGCGCAATGCTGATATGAGTTGGCCAGAAGAAGTGAGCTGTCTGGAAAATAATGCCGAAGCCGATGGCGTAGAAAATTCCGACTCGGCACGTGTTTCCGGGATAACAGGCTTGTACAACATGGGAAATACGTGCTATATGAACAGCGCTCTGCAGTGTCTTAGCAACACTCGACCCCTTTCCAGTTATTTTCTCAGTGGAAAACATAAAGATGATATCAAAAGGTTATTTTTTTTAAGTTTGAAGGTCCCAGGTTTTTTCCAGTTCTAAGTTATTTTGTCGTGTAGGATTTAGCTTTTCTAGGTTGAAATCAAAAGGAACTGTAGCGATGGAATACGGCAATATTGTGAAAGAGCTTTGGTCCGGCAAGAAACGCAACATCGCTCCAATCAAACTGCGGGTAAAATTTTATTCCCCGACGCATCTGTTGGAGGGCCTTTTTATTGATGCAGACAAGAATATGATGGCAAATGTCAGAATCCTCTTTTCATACTTCAGTTTTTATGGAAGGTAAAGGTGCTCAAAAATAGCCCAAGGAATTGCATTTTGTCAACAACAGTTACGTCCTGACAAGAATGTTGTTGATTATTTCTTCCGACGGTTGACTGGAAGATGAAGACGGCTGCTTGACATGCACTGTTGTCACTGTCACTTCACCACTAAAGCGAATTAACAAAGGCCATTTGTTCATTGCAAAAACGCATACTGTCGAAGGGTTGTCTTTGCGTGTGTTCGTCTCTACCGATTTGACATGTCGAGACCTACAAAAGCTACAAGGCTGAAACTTTGGAAGATTAATCTACATGCAAATGGGCGCTCTTGTCCCCATGATACCCATGGTGGGTAAGTTACTAACTCGGGAGCGAGAAAAGCTAGAAAGCTGAGGTTTTAAGGGGATTTTCTCGGTCCACATGGAAATTGTTGACTTTAAGCTCTGCTTCTATTTGCGCGTGGTTCCCACGTACGAACTAGAGGAAATTTTCGACAGGCAAGTTGCTAACTTGGGGACCAGTAAGAATAGAAAACTGATATTTCAAGGGAGTGTTTCCCAACAGTCCTGGCGACCAGTCTTAATTTGTTTAGTTAGAAGAATCTGCCGGAAAAACCATTGCCGTTAGCGACAAAAGTCTGTGGGAAACTACGCAAAAAACGCATCTTTGCACCGGCATTCGTTGCGCTGGCTAATTGTTTTTGCTGACAAGTCGAGTTCAGTCTTGATAACCTCTTTACAGGAGGCTGTTAAGTCTTGCACAGGGTCTGTATTCGCTGAACGGACGCAACATGATTGTCAAGAATTTCTCTCCATATTGCTCGATTTGTTGCACGAAGACTTGAAT